ACCCCCTAATTATAAAAATACTTTTCGAATATTTATTGGGGGGGGAGGGGGGGCCCCCCCCCGTTTAATATTAGGGCGTGAGGATTATAAGGTAATCCCCAAAAAGGAACTACTTAGGGGCCTACGGGTACGCTAGGGCTGTTTTGTTGAAGGCTCCTTGTCTCACTGCTGGTATGAGCGGGAAATTTCAAGGTTAGGATGGGTTGAGTGTCCAGAGTTTCGGGCGTTCACACATTTCCAACCTAGCCAGCCGAGCACACCACTCTGACTTATAAGGGAACTTTCAATCAAAGCCTGATTTCGAGAACTACCCTAAGGGGCGTGCCCTGAACCCTGCACGGATACGTGGCTGAATGCGATTTCCCAGAAAGCCCGATACACCGTAAATACGGAACGGCCCTGGGCTTAAAGTGCGCAAAGACGCACAGATAGCACAGAGGATTGAATTTTTCGTGGCAATTTCGCTCACAGCCCCGGCATAATTCTAACACTATAACATACCGCAAAAGGGTCTGGGGGTTAGGGTGTTTAGAGTTTAGGGTTTAAAAACTAGGTTTTCGACTCGCACAGAAATATCGGTTTAGAGTTTAGGGTCTTCGAGGGTACCGCAAAACGACATAGTATTGGCGTATAAATTCTGGAATTTGATTGACTCTGGGCTAGTTACCTCTGCTGGCATAGGGATCCCCAAACCCAAACAATAACCCCTTCCTTAACCTACCAAAACCTACTATTTGGTAGGGTCCCTATAAATTCCATATTAGGGTTTATCATAAGGACCCACAAAAAAGTAGGTTTCGGTAGGCTAAGGTAAACCCTAAGCCGCCCGGGCGTGCCCGGATCGGGTCGGCGCAGACGGCACCCCGCTTCGTCAGACCCTGGCGCCTGGCACGGTTCAGGGTTTACCCATGAGCCCCTAAGTAATTCCTTTTTGTGGTTTATTTTTAGGAGTCCATGATCGCCGATTATAGGTTTAGGGTTTAGGGTTTGCCCATAAGCCCCTAAGTAATTCCTTTTTAGGTTATGTTTAGAATCCTACAAGGTAATCCCAAAAAGGAACTACTTCCCTAAGTGATTCCTTTTTGTGGTTTATCTTTAGAACCCTATAAGGTAATCCCAAAAAGCAACTACTTAGGGGCCTATGGGTAGGTTTTGGGGGCAGGTGGGAGGATGCTTGGTGCCCTTGTTCCAAGATCCCGTAAGGGATAAGACCTTAATGTAGGGACGAAACTTTCCATAAATCCTTAAACGAGCACTCAGAAAGATAATTGCTGGAGCCTTACAGCTTGAACTGACGAGCTTGCATCGAGAAGCGTAGTGGCTGGATTCATGTCACACCCAGGCTAGGGTGAGTTAATGTGGGGGCCCGAATAGCCAGAACAGGGTCTGGGGTATATTGTACTAAAATTCAAGCAGGGAGAGACTATCACTACTTAACTTCTACTGTAGTTCTAGTAAGGTCGATAGTGAAGGGAGACTGTCAATACTTACTCGACCATCAACAACCCTAACCCCTAAACCCTCAGCCCTAAGCCCGTGCATAAGGCTAAGGCTTTTCATACCAAGGCTACGAGGTCGGCTTAGGATGACACTTGAAGTTCAAGGCACGTAGTATATCGATTACAGCTTGATTACTACGGGTAAGGTTTCAGAAAGGGCTAGGTTGCAGTTTGATTACTTTTGGCAGGGTTTGGAGTTTTGGGAGGGTCAGTGCTTCTGCGAGATGGTGATCTTACCTTATAGTCCCCTGGCAATCAGAGCACAACCTACACCCCAACCTACGCTGTGTCTTGAAACCCTATGGCTCCATTTAACAAGTCGGGTTTCGTGATGTTCGGCGCAAGAGGATCCGACTTGCAGACTCGAGCGGGGGAACGAAGCAGGGCTGAACGATTTGGGGCGTCGTATAAAGGCCTTAGCAGCTTTAATGCTCCGAGTAGGTTTTGGGGTGCACTTTACGATAGTTCCAAGAAGGAACGCAAAGGACGGTGATCGAATAGCTGGGCTGTCTCCTTAAGGACTGTTTTGAGCTCCATGTTGGTTTTGAACGTAGTTAAGCACTAAAAGCCCTTTTACAGCAGGCCTCGTACACAGCAGCCCGGCACTAAAAGCCCTAAACCCTCAACCATAACCCAAGCCCTGTGCCTTTTCCCTGAGGCGAGCTCGGTAAGCTCGGCCACGTTGGCCATGGTTGCTGCCACCTGACAGGTCCTAAATAGGGTTCCTCTCAGGCTTCTTTCATGGATCCGTCGGGTTCTTTCATATACTGCAGGGTCATAAGCCCTGAAGTAGGGACTACAATGGATACTACTGGTGATTGCACATTCCTTTGATTATGCCCGGACTTAGGCACGGGTTTCGGGTGAGGCAACCCGAAATAAGCCCCCAAGCCCTGAACAGTATCACGGGTGGTTCTGCCTGGCAGTGGGCACAAACTCGTTTCTGGCGCCGGACTGGTGATGAAAGGATATTCTGACGGCTCCGGCGAGGCACAGAGCTCTTCCATTCGAAGCCTCTTCTCCGAGGTCTCCGCTGGCTGTCTCCAACGACAAGCTCGCTTCAGATCTGCCATGGTGAAGAGGCAGATTTTGTGGAACTCGTAGCCAAACATGAGCTCTGTAGTGTATTGCTGGGATTTGGAGCGCGCCTGATCGTAAAATCTGCAATGCCTGTGGGAAACACCCGCCACGCGTGATGTTCGGGCAATGCGGCTTCAAGCTCTTGTTGGATGCAAGTGCTGCTTAACACGGGGCCACAGCCCTCAATGATCTCGGTGACTTTGGATTTCTTTCCCATCAGGCGTGCTGTGCTGCAAGGCACGTTCGACGTTTGTTACGGAGTTGGGATGCGCTCACTTCACGAAAGGCTGACGAAGTAAACGCACATACGTGGAGAGTCAGCCAGAGAAGACACGATGAAGTCAGGCAACGAAAGTTCGCGCTGCCAAGCACCGGAGAGGTCCTACTCTGTACGCCTGCAAACAAGAGGCCTGAAGACAATTGGGTCGCGGCACGCACAAGCAGTCCAGCGAAGCCATCTCAATCATTCGATTAAGCCTTTGGGGTAGAATTCAGGGAATTTGAAGGGCACTTATATGCTGGGTGCATCGCTGCAAGCTTCAAGCCAACCACACAGGGAGTACTCTATATACGTATATATATATATATATGGAGAGAGCGAGAGAGAGAGAGAGAGAGAGAGAGAGATAGATAGATATATATATATATATATATCAATATCAACTGTTACTGAGTGGGGCAGTATCCAAGGTTTAAGCGAAGCCGCTCTGGACGCTCAGTCCTCCACACCCAATCGAGGTCAAACTCACAGAGCCAGCCCGAAACCCCAGCAAGCATTAATAACAAGTGAAAACAGAAGGCATCATCATCATCATCATCGTCACCATCACCATAATCATCGTCAGAAGAAGAAGAAGAGTCCTCTTCATGGCACCCCGGGATCGCTGCCAGAACTCGCAGGATTTAGGGATTCTCGGGGCGCAAGTTTCTGACTACCGGTAGCAGCGCTACTGCTGATGCTGCTCTCTCAGGCTTGCCGAGAAAACACAAGACAACGCCGCACGTGGCAACCGTTATAAAAGTGCTCAAAACAATCCACCCTACGCTATGGTAGTTGGAGTCAGGAAAGAACCATGACTCCAGGACTGCATCGCAGATTCCCGATTCTGTAAACTTTCTCTGCGCATGTAAGCCTGGCACGGGACCCCCGATCGTGAGAAAACCGTTTTTGCTGTGGCATCTGCCTGCCTCCAGCTGGCACTGCCCGGATGTCTGCAACAGACGCCAAAAGTTGGCTTGGTAACACCATCCTGGAAAGAGCTGTTCAGGTTTTTATGGCTCTTGAGGCTGAAGGATTTGGGTATTTGGGTCCTAGGCGAGTTTCGAGCTACGGCCTCAGTGCTTTCGGGTTTTTGGGTCTCAATGTGGTTCGGGTGTTAGCACAATAGACATCCACAGGAGCAAGTGGTAAGAACTGGAACAACTAGCCAGAAATGGCAATGGCATTAACGATGAGAAGAACAACTCCTTTACTGTCATTGGCTTGGGTGATTGGTTTTGGGATGTTTTGGGTGTGGCTGGATCCTCCCCGGTTTGGTGGTCCGAAAAATGAGCCTGCATCATCTGCGACAACATCAAGTTGCCCACATGTACTTTACAAGCTTACCTCTTGGGTTTAGAGTCCAGATGTCTGTCGTTCAAAACCCGAACTAGACCCTAAACCGTATCCATACTTGACTGAGCCAGCATGGGTGTACTTTTTTGGTTTTGGCTTCGGAGCCTCGGCTCATCATGGCCTCGGGTTCGCCTTTGGCTCTTGGAGTTGGTGAGGGTCTATGGGGCTGACTTAAACCCTGCCCACCCAAACCCTCAAGCCATCGAACCCACCCACCAAAGCCTCTGTGGCAACTCGGAAGGTCGCAAAGGCACTACAAAGGTCACAAAGGCACTGCAAAGGTAAATCCCGGAAATGCTGCTTGAGGATTTGGGGGCGTTAGCCCGGAATCCAGTCCTTGTGGCGTCTTTCGGTCCTTGATTTTCTTGAACTCCTGAAGCTTGTGCATTCCAAATGCCGGCAACAAGTCATGCAAAGTGACGAAAGTCTCCAATAGGTCTGATCCATTATCCAACTGCTCCATTCGCCGTTTAAGCTTTATCCTCGCTTTAGGGGGGCGACTACCTGAGGGATGGTGGGGCTTCGTAAGCGGTTTCACACTGGGGCCAGTGATTCTACTACAAAGCTGCTCATGTCCGACGGGTCTGGCTAAACTCATGGCAATTGGCTGAGTGTTTTTTGTGGAATGTGGAGTTGCGGATCGAACCGTCTGGGGATTCATGACCTGTGCGGTGCAAGGATTCCTGGGTTTATCGCTTATCCTGCATTTGTTTACACCTTGAGGGTGTGCTCGTTCGGGCAGTACTTTGGTGGCAACTTTTAGTAATAGACGATGAACACTTTAGAGCCTGAACACTGTAACACTGAGCCCTCACATCGCCAAGACCTGAACCGTTACCAAAATCCAAACGCCCACCCCCGACACCCTATCCTAAATCAAGAATCCACTTTCGATACGTCATTCAAGCTACAGCGCGCCTCCTCCGAGTTATCCACCATTTTCTTAATGTCTGGCGAAGGTATGAACCGAAACGGAATCGCGACCTTCGGAACGAGGATCAAGACAGCAAGGCTTTGGGGCTCTAGCTGGTGCGCTTGTCGATTTTATGTTAGCCTTGGTTTAGGCTTCAATGTATAGGATGTCAACCCCAAAACATGTGGCACCCTACACCATCATGACCTGTGGTTCGAATTTCTAGCAGAAGGCACAGCATGAAAAGCGCCAGCGAGCAGAAGAGCGAGAATGCAGTGCCATTGGTGTTTATCTGGCGCCTGCATTAGGCATCCATGTGTAGCCCACCAAGCAAATCTCCGCTCGATCGGTGGAGGAGAAAGAACACCAAACAACAGCCCCTAATTATCCGTTATTACCCCAAAAATAATACAGACCCTCACTCCCAGCATCCTCATCAAAAGGACCCCCCCTGAACTCCTCAACCCTCACCGCCCCTGAACGAAACCCCTGAACCCCAAACCCTTGTGAAACCAGGAGCTTGCACAAACCGCAAAAACACTACAACCCCAAAACCCAAAACCTCCCTCAACCTTCTATCCTCTCTACCCACTTTGACGCTACCTTGCCAGAAGCTGTGCAGCTCGTTGAGGCGGCGCGCGCATCCAGCTCCTGGGTTCTTGCTAAGGAATTTAACTTCGGAGGGTTTAGGGGCTTGTGTTTTTTTTGCCTCCTGCATTGCTGAGCGAATCACTGGGCATGGGCAGGGTAAAGACAAGAACCCGCGTGAATGCACGTGCTGTCCCCAAACGGCATCACGTCGATACTCAACAGGAAGGCTTAGGGTAGTAACGAAACCAATTATATACTGTAGATCCCTACTGCGTGAATTTAAGATCTTTAGACACCTATTGAGTTAGTTTAAAATAGGCTCCTTAAGAAGAACCCCGGCTCCTCACTGCCGTATGTCCAGCAGAAGTTACCTGAAGGTCTAGGGTTTGAAGGTTTAGGGCCTTCAGGGTTTAGGGTTTTGGGGGTTTGGGGGTTTGGAGTTTAGGGCCTAGGGCTTTAGTGGTCTTGGGTTTAGGGGCTTCAACCTCACATACTTGCACATGCCCGGCGTGGCGTCTGAGCAACGAAGGTCCACGTGTAGCTGCCATGCGAGATGTCCTAACCACACTAGCAATTCTGAACTCAGTGAACTTGCGCTGCGGACAACGTCCGCACTTGCGAAAGTCAACGTAGAGTGAAAATCCCGCACTCAGACGACTGATATATGGTGTTTAGAAGAGCTTACAGGATTACAGTAAGTTAGAGAGGTTTTTGGTAGAACTAGGGGTCGAGGGCTTTTAGGGGCCCTTAAACTACCATAACTTAGTTCTTTGTAGGTTTTCATTGTAAACCTCAAATTAGAGTTTGTAGGAACCCTGCTAAAAGTACGGTCTGGCAGTTCAAGGTAGGGCTTATGATATCAAACTTGCTGGGGGAAGCCGACTAATTGACACTTTTACTGGCCGAACAAGTCTTTGGCTCCTCTTGTGGAGTAAACAGCAGCTCAAGAACCGTCACCACAAGGAACTTTATGTCGCTCCTGCCCACAGTGGCCCATGCAAATGACCGAAGGTCCAAAACTGCTTGGGAATGTACCAGAGTCATCATCCTCCCACACAGTCTTGACCGGGATCGGGATGGCCTTTCAGGGCAGTTTGTGCAATGGCCTTTCGAGTCCAAATGCGGCGTTGAGGCTTTAGGGTCTGCGGTCCAGGCTTTAGAGTTTGAGAGGAATTCCTTTTTTGTTGTGGGTCTTTTAAGCTGCTGCGGGCCCTGGCTGAAGGTTTAAAGGTCGAGGCGTCATGGGTGCCTTGGCGGACTCAACCACAAGGTGCTGTGGAGATGAAGAATGTTCGGCGAGATGGAGGCTCCCCAGGATCCTCTACTGAGGAGTCCTAATCTAGGGGCCTCAATAATTACCTATATTATTTTGGGGGCTCCTTATTATAATTATAGTATATTGGGCCCCAAAACCCTATTCTAATTATTAAGGCCTCTACATTACCTCATGAAGGGGCATATGAAAACTCTGGGTAGTTTCGGAATTTCGTTGAAGCCGCAAACCTTTCAGGGAATCCGGAAGGTGTCGGAATTGGATTCAAGGTACACCTTCCTAGGAGGACCCTACCCGACCCAACGGAGGCAGCCGAAAACTTGCAGAATCGAAGCACCACTAGGTCGAAGGGGTTTTACCAGGTTTCAGTAGAAGTGTGGCTTCGCAGTCTTAAAAATGTGCCCTCCCCTGAAACCCACTCCAATGCCCGTTCAATCCAAATAAGAAACGGGGCGGAGTATGTTACGCGGAGGCGGAGGGAGAGGTGTGTCCAACGCTGACAAACGTAGTGGCTCTAGCTAGACATTGAGCAGATGTTCAGCTTTAGGCAAGCCAGAAGGCCTTGAAACACGGATCTTGGCAAACAAAAGGAACGTTTCCAACCATTGGGGACACATGGCAGAGATCCTAAGTTCTACGGATTCCGCGGTGCTTACTTTAAGGACCCGTTGTTTCTTGGAACCCCAAAACGGGGACTAGATCGGCAATCTGTTTGATTGAGCTCACCACTCACCATTCACCCGACACTTTCCACTGAAGGCCTGTCAGGACATGCAATCGGCCCTTTCTCTTATCTGGAGACGGACCCCAGTCTGCAACAGCCCCATGTACGAGCTCTGCGTTTCTTGCTTCGTTCCTTCTTCCTCTGCCTTCACTTTGATATGTGTGCTTTGTCTTGCAGGTTCCTTCTTTCTTCATGTCGTTATGTCTGCCCTTTCTTTCTGTTGTTTATGTATTTACTTCTGTACCTCCTTCGTTTTCCGACTCGTTCTTGAGTGTTTCAGTCATTCGTTCTTTCTGTCGATAGTTCGCTATTTTCTATTTCGCTCTTTATGTGTCTATTTCGGGACTTTGTTTCTTTAATTATGTGTATATGCATATGCACATGTATATGTAGTATGTAGATGCATCTATATATGTATGCGTGCTTGTTTGTCTTGTCGTTTATGTGTGTGTTTGCTTGCTTGCCTGGCTGTTTGTTTGTTTGTTTCGTTTGTTTGCCTGTTGGTATACACATACATATACATGCGTGTATGTCTGCGCTTGTGCATGTGCGTGTTGTTTTGCATGTGTGTCTTTCTTCTGATTTTCGCTTCTGCCCTGTGTTCCTTCCTGCTTCCTCTCCTGGTTATTGGCTTCGTTGCTTCATTCCTCCCTACGTTTGCTTTCCTTCCAGTCATTCGTTTCTCTTCGTGCCGTTCATTCATTTCTTGCTCCCTTGCTGCCTTCCGTCCGCCACCGTCCCGACCTTGCCTTGTTCTTCCCCTCCTGTCTCTCACCCCCTGCCACCCCTGCAAGTAAACAAGGGCCCCAACAAAAATGGATTGTCGAATTAACCCCACAAGCTTTGGCAGTCCGTTCTTTCACCAAATCCGCTTGGATAGCTAGCTAGTTAACGCTGTTTCATGGAGGTCGCCTCAGTAGTGGAAGAAAACATCTGTGACCGTGGCATCTTGACCTTGTGCAGGTCTCCCTCCTGGAAAAGGAAAAGGAGGTTGAACGTTTTGGGTTTAGAGCTTGGGGGGTTTAGGGTTTGAATAGGGTGGATGCTAGATAGAGGGCCTGTGAGTATGCACGGAGGTCAGGGTGCGAAGTATCACGAATTAATGAAATGCGTTACCCGCTGCAGCCCTGAGCCCTGTAGCGGTACCAACCACGTGCTGCCAAGCGCCAGTCAAAGCAAGACTTAGACCAGAAATGCTCTACAAACATCACCTGAAGCCTAGACCCCGTAACCTCAAACCCTATAATTATATACTTCCGGAAGTTTCCTGAAACCTCTCAGCGCTGCTTGCAATGTTACGAGACAGGCCCACAAGCAGGCATGCTAGGGACTATTCAAGGGCTACTTACTATTACTGTTTATTCCCACCCTAGAGTATAGTAGAGTACCCTGATCTGGTTTCTGTAGTTACACAGCCTGCCCACGAAGCCCCCTGATCCTGCGAATATTCCGGAACCATTTATACTCCACACAAAAAACCCCTGCATTGCCTGTATATTACCGTTTTCTGGGGTTATACATATGGGGACATTCACATTTGTAGCGAGTTAAGGATTTTTCTACTAAGCGTGCAATAAGGAACCCGCAGATGTTGTATTACTGATACATTATTGCAAGCTTCTATACTAACCCCTGGGCCCTAAACACAAATAGCATCCCTAATCAAATTGCGAAGGCCCCTTATGACAAAACTGCTCCTCAGGAGGGAAGAAATCTGGCGCACGCAGCTGTCGCAAAGCATCGGGGGTTTTCCGTCGCTGAAACCTCAGTCCGCAGAGGTCTACCGTTACTATCACAGTTACTCTGGCGGAGCTCTGAAGCCTGCAGAATGGCTTTGCAAGTGCTTTGGGGGAAGGCTTTCTGGAGAATAGGAAACCTGTAGGTCAAGATGGAAACCTGAAGGCCAAGATGGTAAACTCACCTCGAGGCCGTGACAGATTGAGCTGGCATTTTGGATGTAAGGGCTTTCGGCATTAGAATCAGAGTTCTGCCGCGCAGTTCACTTTTCTATCCTGGGCTGATGCTCGAACTACTTCAGTTAGGGAAGAGTTAGGCTGATTCATGCTAATGCTGCAAGGGTCTTGTACGTCGCTGGTAACTGAACCGGCGCTCTAAATGAATGCCCATGACAGGCCTAACTGGACAAAATGTTACTCGAAGACTGCGGGTGGGTGTGATGGTGGGCGTTGGCTTGCACAGGCATGCGGAAAGATCCCAGCAACAAATTTCCATGATACTTCGCGACAATGCACAGGCATATGATCAGACGAGCACGCGTGCCAAAGCGCATGCGGCCGGGCATCTTTGTGACTCTGCCTCGTCCTCTCTCTATCTCTTTCTCTAACTATACATACGCCTAGAAAGAGTTTACTATTCGTCGCCTGAGATCATGAGCTTCAACTGTGCGTATGTACCTATCTATCGACATGAGAGAATTCATGGTATACACTTAGACATACAGGCATACGTTCGCATATACGTACGTACATACACACATAGGTACATACACAGCCGAGCGCACACACACACACATACACATATACATGCATATACATACATACATACATACATACATACACTTATACATACGTACATACATACATACATGCATACCTACATACATACGTACATACATACTTACGTACTTAGGTACATACGTAAATACATAAATACATTCTTACATACACAAACACATACATGCATACATATGTACATACGTACATACATACATACATACACACACATACACATATCCAACCATCCATCCATCCATCCATCCACCCAGCCAGCCTTCCCTCCCTCCGTCCATCCATTCATCCATTCATCCATTCAGCCAGCCATCCACCCATCCATCCATGCATGTGTGCGTCAGCGTCTTCTGTTGCTTGGTGGAGGTAAACATAGGTCCAACCTATATTACAGATACATGGTGTGTGTGTACACCTGCTACACCAGCATCTCTACATCTTCTGGTTCTGTGCATTCCTATGCACATGTTATCATTTGCACGGCTGTCAAGCCTTGCATCTTCTGATTCGGTGCATGACTAGCTATATGTGTCGCGAAGGTGGCATCCTGGTAGGCGTAGTAGAGCCAATGTCGAGAAGTTTAAACGTACCGCCGGACTATGTATGTGTTTGCGTATATGTGTGCCTGCACATAGATACTGAGTGGAACTATAAGAATATGTACAGAAATCCAAACTGCAGTGATAAGTGCATGAATGTATGAATGACGCAGTAATTGGGCATTCAGATGCTCAGCCTGACCGTAGCTCCAGGCCAAGCTTAAGAAGACCCTCACAGAGTCTAAGGACAGATATAGGATTACAGGACGCACTTTCCGGATATTAGGGCCCCCCCCAAAGCATCTATCAAAGCATGTGCTATACTGTTACCTGGACCCTTTGGGACACTGCGGCCGGCGTGCATCAAGCTCGAGAGGGTCTGGAAGCCTCAGAGCTGAGGGGTTTTGGCTCAGGGCTTGAGGGTTTAGGGCTTAGGGCTTAGGGTTTCGGGTTTAAGGCTTATAGGGTTTAGGTTTTAGGGCTTATAGGGTTTAGGGCTTAGGGTTTAGAGACGTAGGGGTTTGGGGCTTATGACTGATGCACAAAGTTAGCATCCCTTTGCGGAGGAATTATCATTCAGGTGCCTGCATTAAATGACAATAAGGATCTCTATGAACGCCCTGAACATGCTATAAGGGAGCTCCAGAAAAGAGGGGTACGCACTTTCTCTAGGTGTCCTTGGTTTCAAAACAAAATCGGCTTCCTTACGTTGAGAAACTCCCATATGGAAGTGCAGGGCTGAAGCTGTTAGAGCCTAGGGCGATACCTCTCGTAAGCCACGTGGTCAAAGAGTAGCCCAAAAACTGCCGGGAAGTCTGCATGTATGTATTGCGGTGGACACTTCCCCGGTTTGCGAAGGAGAACCTTGTGTAGGGGCCCCCGCAAGAAGTCGAACCTCAACGGTAAAGGGGAAGTGGAAGCCTTACCATGCTCAGTACTGTACCTGTTGACTGTCTGAAGTCTTGACAGCCATGACCAGTTTCGGGCTTAGATGGTTTACGCCTTCAGTTCGTTGTGGAAGGCACAGAACGAATGTGAGGAACAACAAGACATCCGACCCATGAGCGATTTGAAGCTTCAGGGATATCGCTTAAGAGGGAACTCTTCCCTCAGCCTTCTGCACCTGTTTGGTCCGGCCTGGTCGGCTCGGGTTTCTGAGTTTATGGCCGCAGGCTTCAGAGGTTTAGGGGTTCAGGGTCTAGCTGCGTCTAACTTTTTGTAGGGCTTCGGGCTCGTGGCTGTGTTTAGGTAGACTTAGTTAGGTAAACTCTGAAGTATGAGGTTCAGGGCCAAGAAACCCAACATTTACTTCAAAACTGGCTTTGGCCCAGAAGCCAACGCGCGCTGAGCCGTCCCGCTCTGGAAACACGACCTTCGACGAACTTTGAGACGCAGACGAGGTTCAGGGTTTGGGCTGCATGGGATCGGGGTTCGCGGGCCTTGGTTTCGGGATGTCGTGTGTTGAAATCCCAAGTCCTGAGAAGCAAAGCTCTGCGAAGGCCCCCCCAAACCAGCCATTACAAGGCTTGACACACTTTAGGACTCTTAAGGTATCTTAATATCGTAGCAGTCGTCATGGATCCGTCAGCAACCTTGTCTGTATATGTATGTGTATATGTATTTGCTGGATGTGCTGCATAATTGTATGTATCCATGTATGCACGTGTGCATATGTACATTTGCACATACACACACATTAAATATATATATATATGTATATCATATGTATTTACATGTGTAGTTACATGTGCTTCGGTATTGATATTTATATTTTGTATTTATGTTCCTGTTTCTTGTTTCTATACTCCTGTTCATGATTTCATGATACCATATCTTCTGTCGTTCTATGCGAGAAATGTGTGTGTGTGTGAGGTCCAGATTCAACTTTCAGGGATGTGTAGAGGTCTCAGCCTTCACAACTGACCGAGCATAGCCCGGCAAGGTTCGTGCCATAAGCTATAAGCCCGACATAGGCAAGTTGAGCCAAAACAACCCTCCATAATGCAGGAAATGCCTCGGTCCACTCTTGCAGTGAACTCCATGCTAGGTCAAGGCTCGGCATTGATGTACATGCAAAGAAGTCCCATGAAGACACTCCCGATCCGAAACAAGCCTTGCAGAACCATCCGGAGCAGGCCCTGAACTGCAAACCCTGAACCCTAAACCCCGAAAACTTAAACCCTGAAGATCTATAGAACCCTAAAAAAGCCCTGAACCCAAGCTGGCCTTACAAAGGCGACTCTCCTTGTCCACGGAGATCACGTGCCCCTCGGTGCGATCGCGCTTCAGCGCCACGGTGTCGAACCTGACTCATATACTCGATCACGAAGCCTTGAGCATAGATACTGTCGTATTGTAGGGTGCATCCTCCCTCTGCAAGCAGTGGGAAGGACTGTCCCATTTTAAGGGTTAGGGGCAGTTTACACACTCGCTTTGCAGGCGTGCAGCTTCAGGGGTTTCTTCGGTGTAAGGCTTAAGCTTCGGCTTTGAGGGTTTGGGATTTATGTTTTATGAGGCTCTGTAGCCCTTCCATGGATTGGTACGGGTATCCAGGCAACCTCAGGACAAAGGAGTCCTGAGAAAAAGAAAGGGCCAACTTGCAGATTCATGTAGTCAAGGGGTCTTCCTCAACAATTCCTTCCTCAGTATTTCGGCAGGTATACCCCGTATAAAAGATGCGATGACATTGGAGCGGCCTCCTTTATCAAAACTCCCTCCCTGAGGCAACCCTGAACTCACACATAAACCTATAAACTAGAAGCCTTAAACTCGAAACCCTAAGTCCGAGACCCTTTTGAAACCGGACTTGGTGACTGACGGCATGGCCTCCTAAACCCCTTTTCCACAGGCTTGAACTGAGCTCGCCCGGCCAAATCCCTCGCCCTAAACCCCTAAACCCCTAAACCCTACTTAGCCCACGCCTCTCCAGAGCGAGATCCAGAAAGCCAATCTTGTCCTCCACTGGAAATACGATCGAAGAGATCCTAATGTAGGGGCCTTAATAATTGGAATAAGCTTTGGGGTATATTCATACTATAATTCTAGTAAGGAACCACCAAAATACCCTATTCTAATTATTGAGGCCCCGACATTACCTGTAGAAGGAAGCCAGGGTTCCAGGTTTAAGGTTTGCGGCTGTGGGCTTAGGGTTTTGCACCCCTGTTGGGCTGGGCCAGTGGAACTGAGCAAAAGCTCAGTTCGCCTGCAAAAGAGTGCAAAGTTGCGGGGTCCTGAACCCTACGGTTGGTGATATAAATCCTGCAGTACCCATCATAAGGAATATATACCATAACTCCCATAGTTTAGGGTCCTCAAGGTAATGCAGGATTTGTATCATCAACAGTACATCCCCAACCTCTGTAGTTCCTGTAAACCCTGCAACGAAGCCATGGCTCCAACATCCAATCATCTCGAAACCCCAAACCCTAAACCCTAAACCCTAAATCCTAAACCCTAAATCCTAAACCCTAAATCCTAGACCCTAAACCCTACACCCTAAACCCTAAAACCCCACACACCCACGCCCACTTGAAGCAGCTTGAGGCTTCAGGCGATTCAACTTGAGGACTTGGGGCCTTAGCTGGTACGGTACTATAGGGGGCCTTAATAATTAGAATAGGGTTTTGGAGCTTAGTAAAATTAGAATAAGGACCCCCCCAAAAAATAGTGTTGGTAAGTATTTAAGCCCTATACTATATGCTGTACTACAAGCATGGATTTCTGAATGAGCATTGGAGTACAGGTTCAGGCTCTAGCAAGGGCTCCAAACGAGTTGCTCTGGATGTGCCCAGAACCGCAAACCAAGATTCAAGCGAATGTTTCTGAAAATGTCATGTTTGACCCTCGCTGCTTCCGATCTGATCCTCGTTTTCACTCCTCCGGCTCAGATAAAGCTTGGAAAGCTAGGCCATTTGGCCAAATGCCATGCAGACAGCAAGGCGCTAGCCCACTCCACGGGTGGGAGGGAGGGCTGGAAATGACTGCAGGATTCGGGTAAAACATGTGAATCATGTTTGACCCTCGCTGCTTCCGATCTGATCCTCGTTTTCACTCCTCCGGCTCAGATAAAGTTTGGAAAGCTAGGCCATTTGGCCAAATGCCATGCAGACAGCAAGGCGCTAGCCCACTCCAACCACCTTGACCGGCCGACAGCGAAAGAACAGCCCTCAGGCGTTGCAGCTAGTGCGCTGGTAGAAAACGAAGGAGAAAGGAAAGAATGGCAACTGCCGATTGTACTGCAAATCTGGCTCCAGAGGAAAGACGAGGCAACACTGACTCTGCTGAAACCTCCTGCAAGTAGAAAGCCAAAGTCCCTTGGTTTTGTAGCCTCATAGACCACTGAATATCGGCAATAGCCCGGCCCTCGCGGTATGCAGCGACTGCCCCACCGCCTCGAAGAGACCCTGGGGTCAACTTAACTTGAAGCGGGGGGGAATGCTCAAAGCAGAAAGGATCTTGTCCCATCTACTACGAAACATTGCAGGACTGCCAGGAAAAAGCTTGTCTCTCCGATGCAGCTGTCCCCAAGTCGTTGAAACCAGTCGGGCATACAGCTCGTCCAGAGTCACGGCGGCATGCTGAACTCTAGCACCTCTGCCTCGCGTCTTCGGCTCGCGGAAGACGATGTAAAAACGACGATCATCACGAAGAAGATCGCTGGGAGTAAGAAGATCGCCCCTGAAAGCAGACAAGACCTCACCTATGCGGCAACAGCCTCGAAAGCAGAAAAGCGCCGCACAAGCCCAGGCATACCAACCCCAGGCCACTGCAACCGAAATCATGGCAGTGATGATTGGCTCGGGCATAGGAACACGATGCTCCGTAGGCTCGAGCTTCTCCCACTTGGACAAAAGGTCCCAAGCCGGTCGGATGCAATGTCGCACACGAGGGAAGACATGTTGAGCGTGGGCTAACAGCTGACGAAATTCCTGAAGAGAAGCGCCCTGATCGTAGAGCACCTGCCCGTACCCCTTGAGAAGCTCAACGAGGAGCTCGGGACTCCTCTCAAGTGATCTCCAGCCAGCCTCGTTGACTCCTTCATGAATCCAGGCTCTGAAACGGGCCCAGATGCCCGCTCGAAGCTTCGCTGTATTCGCCGCTACGACGGGGATGTCAACCAAGAGCTGAGGGGATCGGTGACGACGAAGCTTTCTCGGTCCTGGATTCGCAGCTTCTCCGATCCTAGCGCCCGAACACTTAGCACACCGGCTGAGGTCGAGGTCCCGGTGTTCGCCAAGCCAGCCGACGTCGGATGCGCAGGCAGCGGCGAGCAAGTTGCAAAGTCCTTTAGGATATGGCTCAGCAAGCTTAGTCCAGGATACACCGCTGTCAGGGTCACGACCCCGGAGGACGCGATGAGCGTGAGTGCGAGGACAAAGAAGACGCTTGCCCCGCAGCTGTCCATTCGTCCTAAAGGTCGTACTTTTCCGCCACGGAGTGCCGAAAACGCAGAAGTCACACTTGAAATCGAAATCGGCAGCGCAGGCCAAGACTGAGCTCCAAGCAGGTTGGCGCCAGAACCAGCTGCTGGCAGGATTCTCGATCCAGTAGGTAGCGCTGACCTCCTCGCATATGACGATGACTTCAAGCAGGAACTCCAAGAAGGAATTTCCTTTGACGACTTTCTCAGCTTGGTCCAGCCTCAACCCCGGCTTTCCTTGAGGGTGCTCTCGACTCCGCCACGTAGGAACGATAGCACTCGAAAAAGAGGCACAGACCGGAGCAGCACTGATCCCGGCAAAAGCTCCGCCCCGAAGTAGCTCGAAAATGGATCCTTGAAGTTCTGGGTCCAAAAGGTCCTCGTCCTCGCCATGGCTGACATCAAGACAGAGTATCCAACATGGCGCGGCGGCAGCTAACGCTCTGGCGAAGCCCCTCATCCCTGAAAACAAATCAAGCCACCCCGAACCCGAGCTCAAGGCAGAGTCCAAATCAGGAAAGGCAGAGGAGTAGACAAACCTCCCAGGAGGCATGGCTCTGAGACGCTGGAGAACCGCACTGGACAAAGGCCCCGCCCGCTCTGAAGCGCAAGGCCGAGAACAGCTCGAAGTGAAAGCAGGCTCAACTCCAGGGGAGCCAACGCTGAAATGAAAAGGATCAATGCGACAGGGGCGATGATGATGCCTAGCACGGGACCCTTCAGCAGAGAAGGCCTTGCATCTGGGAGGCCGCACAGCTGTGGGAACCGGAACTATGCAATCGCGGACCTTGGTTAAATCCTCGGAACCTCCTCCAGGAGGAAGAACAAAGCCTAGCGAGAGAGCTTCGGCACGCTGTGATGCTGAAAGTTTCTCTGTGCCTCGAACAGTGAACCCAATCAGCACGATGCGAGTGCCGCGCCACGGCATAGTACAGTGTAAACGTCTGGGGTCGAACAGAACTGGCTGGCTCGAGACATCCAACACTTCTCCATGCTTGGCTTGACTCTTATGGAAGACTTCGACAGACCCTCCAAGGGTTTCGATCCAAATGCCTCCTTGTCGAAACCTCGTGAGGGCAACGACAACATTCGGCTCAGTAGAAAGGTTGTTCCGATCGAAATGTGGCAAGGTCTTAACGTTCTGATTGATGGCAAGAGAACTGAAGACGATTCCTGGTCTAAGGCTCCTAAGGAAGGCCGTAAAAACCCGAACTGAAGAAGGAAACAACTCGCAGTTCTTTCGCAGCCCTACGACTCCACCGTGAACAAACACCCCGGCAGAAAAAGAAGTCTCACCTTTCTTCAGTCCTGAGCTCCGACTCGAAATCTCCTTAGGCAGTCGCCGAAAGATTTCGAGCACATCCTCAGAGGAGATGGTCTCTCGCCTCAGGAGCTGCCGCGCTCGTTTTTCGGGGTCATGGGTAACTCTAGCCTGACGAAGCTTTGCAGGGAGAGTCTCAGCAATGGGTCCATCGGGACCGAGCTCTCTGGCATCAGGAAGCCCCGCTAGCTGCTCAGGATGCAGCTCTTGCTCATGCAAGAATTCATCGAGAGGCGCGAAGTCACCTATGATGGCTGCGGCAAACCAATCCGAAGGCTCGCGGCAAGGCTTCCGCAGCTCACAGCTCCTCGTCGGATCATCCGAGGGGTTCAACTTAGATCTTATAAACCCGAAGGAAGGCCTAACCCGATTAGCGAGGTAGCACGGGAGCGATCGCCGAAGCTCGTAATTAATGGCCCTTGACGCCGATCGCCCTTTAACAAAAGTCGCAAGGCTGACTTGGCTGTCTTGGAGGTGAACATATCGGGACCCTGGGTAGCGCTTCCCGACACCCTCTTCACCCCGGATGGCAGCTCGCACCTCGCCTACGTTGATATGCCGTCGCCTGCTGACCTTAACAATCCTGCCGAACTGCCGAAACTGCAAAGAGCAACAGACCTGTTCCCACAACGGGTGCGAAGTGTAAGCTTCTCCAGGTAAAGCTTGACACTCCTCAAGATCCCCCCTTTCCTGCAGGAAAGCCTGCGCTGGACTGAGCAATCGGCTCCACAGACCACGTTGCAAGCCATGTCGGCTGAGCTCAACTGACAGCTCAGCGGGGATCTCAGCGACAGCTCCAGCCTCGGCAGTAGAGGATGCATCAGTAGCTAAGACCAACGGAGCTCCAGGAGCGCGGATGTCAACATCAACTTGGCAGAGGAGAGCAGTCGCGGCTAAGAGCTCATTGCAAAGGTCCCCTCGCACGCGGACAAACGCGTGGCGCGGACGATGCTGCTGAACAGCATACACTTCATCGAGCAGCGAAAGAAGCCTCCTTCGGAGCTGCAACCCAGAGACGAGGCTCCCGGTAATCACCTCGAGCATGCCAACAGAAGTCACTCCGCCTTGGACAACAGCCAGAAGGAAAGCTGCAAGCCCACTGACCCGCTTAGGACTCGGGCGGAGAATTCCTGCCTTCCCATCAAGCTGGCCCCCCCAGAAATCCCCAACGCTGGCTCGAGAGACCGCTTTGCCCTCATGGCGGGGAAGCCCGCTGGTTCGGTAGCCATCGATCACTTCTCGCATGATCCTGACTCCCCGGGGTTCGTACTCCAAACTAGGTGGAACCTTAGGCACCGGATCAAGCAACACGAAATCATCGATTAACAAACCTGCAACGACGCATCCTGACCTTGGCGGCCGTCCTTGCAAAGACAAGAAATCGGACAGGCGCAGGGAAGTGGTCTGCAGCAACACTGCAAGATGGGATGTTTGCCCGTAGGCGACGGCATTCGTGTCGCCCATCGCCATTGTCCCCAGAGCTGGGACAATGATTTGATTCCTCAGTGACTTGGAGCAGGCCGACAGATGAGCAACATCTTCATACGAAAGCTCGAGCGCAAGAGAGTTCCGGGCCGCCCGAATGGGCGAAACGATGAAGCTATGATAGAACTCCCTAAGGTCCTCGGCATGAACCTCGAGGTTGCAATCATCCGGAAGATGCATAAACTGGATCTGCTCAAGCGTGCCCAATGACCTAATCCACCTGGACTCGCTGCGCTCCAAGGCGTTAGGCGGACGAGCGTCTAGCACCATCCTATCTCGCTTGCCGTCTTCAGGTACCGAGAAGAGACCGCTCCTGACACCCGGCCTTACCTCGCCCTTGGCAAACAGTGCAAGCCGGCCTGACGAATCCAAGAGCTCCAACAGACGCTTCGCTTGATCCTTGCTTGCCCGGACTGCGACGTGGGGGAGCTGAAGCTCTTCAGTGAGAGGCTCGGCGAAACGGATAGGGTCCTCATATGTTTGCCGGTTGGCGGTATCCAGATACGGACGAGGATCGAAGCTCGGACGATCGACGAAGTTCAGCCGATCGGGCTCAACGGGGAGCACATGACAAGGGGCACTGAAGCTGAAAACAGCCTCTTCCAAGTCGGCACCGGCGGGGAGGTCTCGGTACTCTTCCTGACAAGCACGGAGCATGTCGTACAAGCTCTCAAACTTCGGTGCGCTGCGCCCCAGCTCCTCTGGCCCAAAGGGACCCGAGTTGTTCCAGTCCTCGACTCCTCGTCTCAGGGAGCTCAGAGCTTTGGACTGAACCTTAGTCAGAGGCTCGCCAAGACCCATACGATGACCTCGGGAAATCAATGCTGGCTGTCCCAGAAACAGCCAGTCAAGAATGAGGATTACGGCATTGAGCCCCAGCTCGACAGAGTCACGGACCTTGGAGGACCCAGACTTTAGCAGCTTCGGAAAGGATAAAGGGCTCGGCCATACCTGACCAGATGATTGACAGCTCGATTGCTGACAAAGCCCCTGCTCTCCGCAAGGTAACAGCCGGATGGAGTGAAAAAATGAAGAAAGAGAACAATCAGACCGGCTCAGGGTCTCGAAGAATTTAGACCACAGGTTGCTCGGAGAAACCCGGGGGGCTCGCGATCCCGGGGGCGCAACTTGTTTGGGTGGATCACTGGAAAGAACCTTAGTCCCCTCGTTGAACAAGGCACCCCGGCTTGCACCACGGCTACCCTGCTCAGATCCCTGACCCCCGCCACCCACTGTGCCACACCTACTTTCGCAGCCTCCAAAGCACGGCGCGTCAGTATCCTGCTGGCTCTCATGTCCTGCTTCAGGAGGGTGTGCTTGGGTGATGCGGGCTGGGTCTTGGGATGAGGCTTCGCTCGAGGCTCCGGCCTCAAGCTCGGCACCTTCAAACACGCAAGATTGATCAACCTCCGGAACAGAGGGAAGGGGGCTCAAACCCAAGAGGCTAGAAGAGGATTTCGCTGACCCCGTAAAGGGAGCAGCGCCGCCTCTGAGACCTGTTCCCGAAACGCTCGACGAAACTTGAAAAACATCGGCACTCTGGAACCCAGAACTGTAACCAGGAGTCTCAGAAACTAAAGCCTGACAAACGGGCTGGCGGCTAGCGTGGTGCAACGTGGGCCTCCAAATCGGAGACGACTCAGGGTAGCCAACTTTAGAAGCGGCTGGAAGACGAAGCTCAAGGAGCCTGGGCCGCCAAGTGATGCAGGGCTTCACTTCTCTTTCTCGTTTCCCTTCCCAGTCCCCTTGGGAGGCTTCCGTGGAGGCTTCGGAGGTAGGTCCCCATTCCCCCGAGTGGTGTCTCCTCCCGCGGTGCTCCCGGGAGGAACAGAAGATCCCTGACTCGACAGATTTTTCTTGGCAGTGTGAAAAGCGTCTCGCTCCTTCAGCCGGGACATGAACACAGACACCCACCTCGGGTCGATGATCTTGGTCTGACGAGCCTCCAAAGGATCGAGTGTGCGAGGCCGCTGAAAAGCACTGAAAGGGGGAGACGGCTGCATAGTGAACTCGCTTGCAAGTAACCAGTTCCCCTGATCGATAGCCGCTTGGTCCAGCGATGCCAGCGCCAGCAACGCTGTAGCTTTTGCAGCCTCGGGCTGATCGCTGTTCAGCTGGTCCACAATGGTAGCTAGAGTCCAGGCATTTCTGATCGGTCCCGCAAACTGTTGAAGATGCGACCGATGCTCGACCCAGCCTCTCACAGTGCACTTGCGATCCTCCAAGCCTGGGCCGCTCTGAGCGAGAGAGAAGTCTTCGGAGATAAGACCTTCGATCGAAGCCGATATGAGTTCTGGCGAGTTCCTCAGAATCCCACGCAGCTTGTGGAAGGCGGCTGTCTTCGACCTTCCTGAGCTGCCAGACCCTCCTAGGGCGTCGCCGCCGCCATCGGCGCGATCTAACAGTTCTTCCAAATCGTTCCGCTTCTCCCTCTCGGAGTGCATGGCCTTCAAAACCTGGCTGATCTGGATCATCGCTTGAGTGACCTGGTTTCCGGAAACCGCAACCCCACCATCGCCAGCGGCTAGTGCTGCCTCGTCGTCCGATTCGTCCAGCGGGTCTGCTGCTCGCCGAGGTGTGGCCTTGGCCCGTCCCTTGAGCTTGCCGCGTCCTGCAGAAGCCATTTGAGACATCTTGATGAGCTGATCTTCTGGAACCCCTGCAGCCCGAGCGGCATCCACTACTCCAGGATCTAGCCCAGCCAAACGGGGCGGTCTGGTCAAACCCGGAGGAGCACCTAGACAAGGTCCAACTCCCCCGCCCGTCGCAGGGGCATGGGAAGGCTCGCCTGGCTCTTCGCGAGACAAGGGAACCCCATCCACCAACGCTTGCATGCTCGTCTGAAGCTGGCGCATACCCAACTCCAAAGAACGAAGCCTCTGTTCCCAAACATGATCTCCGGCGCCACCTTGCGTCTCGCTGCCACCTTCCTCGACCAAATCCTCCACAGCAGTGAGGAAGGCAAAGTGATCCGCCGCTATAGCACTCAGGGAAGGCCCATAGGGCCGCATACGCACTTGCGATCGTGACCCAAACCCTGTAAACACTACATCGGGCTGCAGCTCGCCCTCGAGGGCGAAATCCACGGAATCCTCGAGGCTGGACTGAAGCATGCCTAGCCATACCTTCATCCGCCAAATGCTGTGGGGCTCGGATGGGTCCTCTTCCGACGCTGCAAGCACTTCGGCCTGCACCGGCCGTGCGAGAGATTCGCGAGGCAGGTACCTGCGACCTGCTACTCGATGCCATGCTCCCTGGGGCACAGCAACCAGGAACTGACCTTCAAACTCCCCCACTACAACAATCTGACAAGAGACTTCAGGGCCCTCGGAGGAAGAAATACGCAACTCCCCAATCTGGGCCTCGCGACCTTCCAAAATGTAATCCCGGAGCCTCTGGAAGGCAGGAGTGCTAGCCGGGATAGCCGCTTCGTCAAGCGTAGGCACAGACTGGCCATCAAGGCCAGCTCGGGGCCAACTCAGACCTGCAGCACGGAGGGCTGTCGCAACTTCAGCCTGGCTTGGTAAGCCCACAAATATGCTATTTCCCTTATCAGGACCCCGGATACAAAGGGCTTTGGCTCGGGAGAAAGAAGAAAAGACGCAAGGCTCGGCAAAGTGACGCCCCTCAAAATCTGAAAGGACTATATAATAACGAGAGGCCAAACCCAACTGATCTCGACCTGAAGAACCCCGAAAGGCTCCGTCCAACGCTCGTTGCAAAAAGCGCCCAACACTCTCGGCCACCTCAGTGCGGAAAGAGGAGCTAGGTCCTCCAGGGTGAGCAGCACAAGAGCCGTCAGAAATCGAGGAGGAAGGGGGACCAGACGCCTGGGAGAGCTGCACTCCTCCTGAACCAGGCTGAGGGGAAGAAGAGGACGCCCGGGTGAGATCCACTCCACCTGAACCGGGCCGAGGATGGGAAGAAGTGCTGGAAGCGCCCCGGGAGAGATTCACTCCACCTGATCCGGGAAACTCAGCAAAAGAAGTATGGGCCTCAGGATATACAACCTCGAACCTGTCCTCCTCCTCCAGCGCAGACAGACGGGTCTCGAGCCTCTCCAACAAGACTCGCACAGCAGTAATTTCCTGGCGGAGCGATCGAAGTTCGGAGCCCCTATCACTCATTCAAGAAGGCGATAAAGCCCAGATGGTGGAAGGCCGAAAACCCTCCGAAGTGACCCCGACACAAGGAGTCGGGCCAAGAAAGCCAGATCCAAGAAAGGCCAGATGAGGACTCCAACACAGATCCCCAACAGAAAGGAAGTCCAATCGAGGCGAAAGGCAAGTGAGGAGCTTGGAGAGGATTCTCCAGGAAGGACAGGGAAGAGCTCAGGTTCAGGAGGAACCCTAACCAAAGAATCCGAAAAGAAAACCTCCCTGGCAACCTGAACGCAAAGCCCAACAAGCCCCCCAGAGGCCCCGCCAGCTACAATCGGCAGTGGTCTCATCCACCGCCCTCTGGAAATGACTGCAGGATTCGGGTAAAACATGTGAATCATGACCTCCCAACGTTGACCCTGATGCCTTGCAGGCTGCTTGATGGGCACCTGGCTTCTTTAACCCACTTGCAGAGCTAGTTGACCCCTGTCAGAACCCCCACCCACCTCCCAACCGTCATGCACAACGACCCGGAAACTTCAGGCGTGATGTAGCCTAAACTCAACTTCCTCACCCCAAGCCCTAAACCCTACTGCAAACCCTTCCGCCCCCCTATGTAGGGCTTCGGTTGATGGCTGCGGTCCTTCTCTGGGCTCGGCAAGAAGAGATCGCCGCAAAGGCACTTCTCAATCTTCGTCCTCGCTTTCAAATCTAGGGTTACAAGGACCGTTCCGATGGAGAGGCCCCAAACGCCTGGTTTGAATATAAGGTAGAAGAAAGTAATAAAAAGGTAATAGTGCGCCGACACTGCAAATCCAGAAAGGTGTAGAAAAGGTACAAAAAGGTAAAAACAAGGTAAACAAAAGGTAAAAAAAAAGGTAAAAGAAAGGTAAAAGAAAGGTAAAAAATGTAAAAAAAGGAAAAAAAAGGTAAAATAAAGGTAAAAAAGGTAAAACAAAGGTAAAAAACAAAGGTAAAGAAAAGGTAATCCAGCAATCCGCAAACCGGACGGGGGTCAGGCAGCCGTAGTAGTGGTGGTGGTGGCGGGGGCTATTGCTATTGCTACCACAACCCCCTTTCATTACCTTTTATTTACCTTTATGTTGCCTTTTCTGTGCCCCCCCCGCCCCTGATTTACCTTTTCTATACCTTTTCATTACCTTTATTTTACCTTCTGCCTTTGTCTCCATAGATCGGAC